CTGACCAATCAGATGCCTGAAATCTGAGTTTGAGCTATGAGAATTTCTTAGGTGACAATGCGATTTTCGCCTACAAATTTTATATGCATGCATATATAAAACTCACAATAATATTGTTCTAGACCATTTACTAAATTCCTACAATATATTAAACATTATCATTACATAACTCTGTAAATTGCATAACCGGCCTGGCTGCGTTTTTGCCAAGCCATGTGAGCCAAACTTGTCCATCAGCAATGGCCGTTTACATAGAAAACAAGAAATGAAACCACGCATGAAAACTGATCAAAACAGTGAGAAAATTTTTAATGAAATGCCTTGTCTGGGACCTACCATCTGTTGTAAATGTGGTGAAAAAACCATACCAACATATTATCAATAACGTCAGATTTTGACAGTGGTCAATTACTATCACGCATCTCTCAACGCTCAGTTAATTCCGATCATAACGAACATTTAATATAGTACATGTCAAGTGTTTGCATGTAAAAATGTTTACATATTTCAACTGAAAGTAAATATCACAATAAAGTGTAGCCCACTAAGATATACAACGAATCTCGATGGTTTAACATAATTATACGCATGGTTTTCACACATCACTTTAGTTGTTTGATACATATATAACACTATAATTGTCTGTTAAATGCAGTATAGAACTATGACTGAAGAGCCTGTCTATCATTACAATGCAAGCAAGATCTTGTCTCCGAGTAAAGAAAGTTAAACTAATTAAATATTTCAAGATCTACCTTTAATTATTGCTCAACTGTTATTTCCGCGTACGTTAAGAATGAAATGCATTTGAAAAGACATATCGAGAAAAGTAAATTCTGATTAAAGAGAATTTAAGAAAGTGATTGTGTTACGTTAATTTTTTTTATTGTCGAGGTAACAAACCTGTTGTGTTCTATTTCTGTTGGCGTAAAAAAGGCGTTTACATATGTTCACAGATTTGTGATGGATCACTCAAACATTCTAAATACGTTTGCTCACTAGTTAATATCAATTTGTGTCATGTAAAACATTATTGTCATAATTAAGGATGCTACACATGTATTCGCATACAATAATTTAACTGTTATAAATGATATCATTTATAAAATTCAAATTGACAAAAAGACTGATGTTGATCATATATGCCAAATTTGAGGTTTGAATAAAAGGATATGATCAAAAGAGTGAATATCGTAAAATATCTATAAGTATTGGTTATTTTCGGATGCACTCAATATCCCTTTCAACACCAATTTAACCAAAATAGCTTGATAACAATAATTTCATAATCTTAATTGGTTTATCTCCTCTTTCATCATTTTACTAAGATATGTTTATAGTTTCTACTGATCTGGTAACGTCATTTAGATAACATTACAGATATATTATTTTTTATTTAACAAGTGGCTTTATATAATTATCATTTACTCAACAACCTGTGTTCAAGTGTTCAAGAATCGTATTATCTGGAATTTGTTATGTTTGTCCTACCTGCTATGCGATTTGAGACGAAGGACACGAATACTTAAATGAAATATGTCTGTTCAACATTTCGGATACACAATGACAAATAAATGTTTTATTGGGCAAAAGAAGAAAATGGAAAATTGTATCGTGTCGTGTATTGAAAACTTTTGCTTAACATTACACAAGTTTTTTTGAATGAATTGATGAGACTCATTGTATGATAATATTAATAGACTTGAATGAAACATTTTGCATAATATACTGTTGGCAAATAAATTCGGTTGACATTTAAGGTAATAAGTCACAAGCTTGATACAGTTACTTGGGTTATGGAAATAACATCATTTGCTTTTCGAACAAAATTATACTATTGGTAATTAATTCTACATTGTATAATAAAAAATCATGAAAATAGCTTCATCTAAATGTTTTAAGCTAAAGCATATTGCCTTATCTATGACGTTATAATGGAAAGGCAATAATTTACCACCTATGATGTGTTCATTGCTGTTTGATGAGTTAAAACAGTACGTCTGAGGTTGGAAATAAGTTAACAGTAAATAGACTTCCCGCTGCTAGAAATAATTGCACTTTGTTTATCTGAAATAACTGAACATCCACAAATATGATAAGCATCTACACCCAGCAGTGGAGTGATTTGATACCGTCTTATAACAATATAACACCTGCGAATATTGTGCAAAACATTGGTTAAAGTAATTATGAAGCTAATACAATAATATACCTTCTTGTCTAAAATAATGATGTAAGGATTTCCACTTTAAAAGGTGAAAGTTAATATATCAATTTAATATTGTTGATTACTGTCAAAGATAAATAATTCAACAACGGTAAAAGAAACAGTGATCTAGTGGTTAAGTTGACTGTTTCTTAACTCAGGGATGATGGAATCGAACTCTGCTGTTTAATCATGTTTCATTATTGACAACAGTACTTACAAAACTTTTTTCTGTACAAATCTAAGGAATTTCATTGGTCAGTGTACATTCTGTGGCAATTTTTGACCAATCAAATGCCTGAAATCTGAGTTTGAGGTATAAGAATTTCTTTATAACTTCGGACCTGGTTATATCACGGAAGCGGAATCAAGAATGGATCAAATAAGTTTCAAGCATTCGTCATAATTTTCATTCATTCATTCATCCATTCATTCATTATGATCTTAATTTGAAATATATTCCTAGTGTTATATGTCAAGTGACACTGACAAAATTTCCTATTGGTTGTTTATTATTTATTTATGTACCCTGAACCGAAACGTTGGTATATTAACGGGGATTTTAAGAATTTGCAGTTGACTACTTATTTTCACTATTTATTCATTTAATAGATCTATCTAGAATTATTGTATAATTATATAAAGATTAATATAAATATGATACTTCCATCCGATAAGACCGACATTTACATTTGTTTATATTTAAATGAAGTACCTAGATTATTTCTTGATTTCCACATGAAGTTCATTTAATACTTTATATATTTCGATCAATATTAACATGTTAAATCTAGTGCTTCTAGAACTTACTAAGAATTGTATATTTTGGCACATTTTTCATGATGAAATAGCGAGTTTCTCGATTTGGTGACAAATCAGTTTAACTTACAAACTATAAATAAATGCATGTATAAAACTCATGTTAATGTTCTTGACCAATTACAATGTAGCTTGTAAACTCTTTTAAATCTTACGATAAACAAAACATAATGTCACAAACTCTGTTAATTGCATAAACCTATATGACGCGGAGTTGAATACACTATAAATGCTACACACATATATATGTGTGTGCAAATATTACTCGCCGTGCTGATGAATGCACTTATCTTATTCACAATGTGGCTTGCTTAAAAGAAGGTTGCAAAGTAGGTGCGGCTGTGTTTGAAAATAATTTTACATCTAGTATGAGGTTACCAGATAATGCATCAATTTTTACTGCTGAAGCAAAAGCTATAGATTTAGCAATGTCATACATAGTACAGCATACCCATGATAAATTTGTGATATTTTCTGACTTGCTTTCTATTTTAATATCCATTAAAAATAAAAAAATCTGACAAAATCATGATAAAGAAACTTCTTTTACGATTTCATGATATACTAAAAACAAAATCTGTTAAATTATATTGGATTCCAAGTCATGTAGGTATACGAGGAGATGAAACAGTAGATGCTTTAGCTAACCAATCGTTAAATTTTCAAAAAACTGACTTATTATTACCTGCTTGCGATTTTAGACCGGCTATAAATAAACTCGTATCTTCTTAATGAAAAGCAAATTGGGACAATGCCGTTTTTAATAAACTTCACGATATAAACCCATCTCTTGATGTGTCACCATTTCTTTCTCTGTCAAACCGCCATGATCAAACAGTTCTTCTTCGATGCCGAATTGGACACACTAAAATTACCCAATCTTATCTCCTCACGAATTACAATGCCCCTTTCTGTGTAGCTTATAATGAAAATTTTTACTGTCAAGCATTTTCTTCTTGAATGTCATGATTTTTCACAGGCCCGTAATAGATTTTATTGTGTAAATTCGCTCAAAGAACTCTTTGATACAATTCCATCAAAAAACATCATTGATTATTTGAAAGAGATAAACTTGTATTCTATGATCTAATTGGCTCATTTTCATTGTCATTTACATAGTTTAACATAACATTTTAAGCCTATTATAGCATCCGTAAAAATCCAAACAAACAAACAAACTGAAATAGAAAAACAACAACAACAGAACATGCATATAGGGACAAAAATATACTAGTACATGTAATAACTTTAAAACGTGTATCATATGTGTAATTACTAGAATAATATAACTCAATTTGTTTTTAAAAGAGATTGACTCATTCAAATACTTTCGACAGACACTCAACATAACAATTCATTCATTCATTCATTCATTCATTCATTCATTCATTCATTCATTCATCCATTCATTCATTATGATCTTAATTTGAAATATATTCCTAGTGTTATATGTCAAGTGACACTGACAAAATTTCCTATTGGTTGTTTATTATTTATTTATGTACCCTGAACCGAAACGTTGGTATATTAACGGGGATTTTAAGAATTTGCAGTTGACTACTTATTTTCACTATTTATTCATTTAATAGATCTATCTAGAATTATTGTATAATTATATAAAGATTAATATAAATATGATACTTCCATCCGATAAGACCGACATTTACATTTGTTTATATTTAAATGAAGTACCTAGATTATTTCTTGATTTCCACATGAAGTTCATTTAATACTTTATATATTTCGAGCAGGAAAAAAGTTTGTAAAAAAATACCAATATGATAAATCATATAATTTATATTGCTAATCATAATTTATAACACTTGTAAAAAATACATGTACAAGGCAAACGCCAACGTGATAAACGAGCCTAGTACTGGTTGGTACCAGGAACGAATTCGAAAGTGCGTCTATAAGCTTATAGCCTCCTACACATTACAACTAAACTAGGTCTGTTAAATCTAAATGAGAAAGACCTATTCAGTACTAAAAGCTGTAATTAAAGTGTTATCAAATTATCAGTGAGTCGTTCTTTTAATAACTGTTTTATGCCAAAGGAATACATTATAACTTTCACCTATTATAATATTTATGGAACGTTTTCTTAAATCTGAGTAAATAAAATGTTCAAATGATTTACTCTATTTGTTACTACACAGGAGTTTAACAATGTTTTAATTTGAACATGTCAGTGTGGTGAACCACGACTACTGCCGCCTATGATGATTAAATGATAAAGCCATCGTAGTTTTCATTGAAGCAAGCTGGTGTATAATGTTTCATTGCTAACCTCAACATGTTTAATGTTAACTCGAGTTTGAAAAGTCATAGCGCTCTATACAAAAAAGTAAAACGCTTGTATTGAAAAGAGTTCAGTTTTAGAAATTAAAAACAAACAGTGTCGATTAGTAAAAAAATAGTGGATACACTGTCAATGATGTTTTGTTTTTAGTGTGTTACAAAGAAACTTAACATTGGAACGGCTGTTATTTGAATTTATTCTGCCTGGAACATTTGTACTAGTCGCATGTAAGTTAAACGTTTATTGACTAAGTGTTCAAAATTATTTTATATATGTTTTCACGGATTTAAAACGCATTTAGTGCCAATGTGACATCGGCAATAAACCCCTTATTTCGATAAGTTTTTTTTCTGTGTTTAAAGGTGTATTGTTATAGTTTGACTTTTATTTTGTTTTGTAATGTAATGCCATTTATTTATCATATAAACTATAGTCTATTTATTCTGTAGTATGCAACTCTCATTGCAGTATTAAAATGGTTGGGGTATATAAGAGCAAGTGCACTTTCAAATTTTCGAAAATTGACATAATGTTATCTAATAAGATCATAAATTATTTGGAAAGTTTAAAACCTAATCATTGCTTTTGTTGGTATTAGAAAAGATAGTCAAACAAGAATACCTACAATAATTAAGAATTATTTAACATGAGACAAAGTTAACAGTTTTGCAGTGTCTTATAATCTATGACGTGCACTAGCACTTTATGTTTCAGCTTAGGCCAATTTAAAATTTATTTCCGTTATCTTTCAATATCGAAACCAGATTTTTTATCATCTTTTGTGTGATTTCTTTAAACGATGATTTTCCCCCCGCATGTCCGTACAAACGGTTGCGTTTAAATGTCCTTTTTTCCATTTGATACAATTTAAACTCTTCGTACATTAAATTTTCCTTAAACGTTTTTTTGCTGATTAATTGGACAGTAAAATAATTAAAATTGCAATTACATCGTGACACGCTATTTGTTTAACAAAACAATTACGAGAAAAGTTTAAGGTGTACGAACAATTTATAATGAACTTAAGTTGGTTTACATATTTGAGAACTTTTCAGAGTTTCAGTCAGTATAAAATATAATCTCTATAATTTCTATATCGTTTAAATGTTTTGAAATGAGAGCATATTTTTATTTAGTTTATTTACTCTTTTCAACCTTTTGTCCCTTTTCTTGTGTAATTGTGTAAATGAATGAACCTCTTAACTTTTTAAAATGTCTCATATATTCTGATATAATACCTGACTAAAAACATAACAAAATAAATTTATTTTTAATTATCTACATATCAATGAAAATGATAAAGTTTTGTATTGTATTATTTTTCTTAAATAAACGGGCCTTAAACGTGGTTCCAAAAATAAAATAAAAATAAAAAAAGAGAGAGCATATTTTAACTATTTAATTAGTGAGTTTTTTTTATACCTTTTACTTTACCTTCGTGAAATGTAGGCAGCTTAATTACATAACATTAAGTTTGTATCTGTAGAGTGATTTTCATCTTAACTCTGTATATCGTTACCAGGGTGACCAAAAACCTTAAATTTTTATGAATTGTAAACAGTTTCGTAATGAAACGCGATGACTCGATTTACAACAGACGACATGCTTAATTTATTTAAATCCGAACCGGAAATATCTGTGAAGAAACGAGACATTTAGTTCACTGATAAATTATGCGACGTTGACCTTCAAAATTGTCATATGCCCCACATTTAAATGTTAAGTGAATCACTTTATAAACCTCCATTTGTAATGCATAATTTATTAACATATTGCACTGGAGAATGTTTTGTCGATTACATATTTTTAGTACAATATATAAACATGTAACTTTTATATAACTTTTATATATGTAATAATGAGTATAGTTATTATATCAGAATAATCATCACCATCATAATGATCATCACTTCCATCATTATCATTTTAATTGTAAATACTTTAATTACTATTAAGCTTTTAGATAAAAAAATGTGTGTGTGTGTACTCTATACACTGTAACATTAGTTGCTACTAGTGTATGAAATACCGTATCAATCACTGAACCATATCGTTAGCTGTAAGCTGTTAAGATATGAACAAGTGTTAAACATCTAGGTCAAGTGTTAAAATGATACTGTTTCGAAATAAACAAGTGTAAACCCTTTGATATGTTAACGCCTGCAGTAGACCAAGATCCCTTTATAAGCGAGCGCGGGAAGCCTGCAAATGTTACACGTCTACACTGCAAGCGCATTTATGCTTTGTATTTTAACCTTGGATAATTTATAATATCGCTGAAGAATGAAGAAACCAAATATCAGTTTATTTCTGCAAACCGCATTTCAAAATACATGTCTCTAGTAATATTTCAAATCACTTTTATTGCCACTTTTATGATTTTGTTATGAAAACCAAACCTTTTATTCTTGCATTAAAACATCTCTCATAGGTATTCATAAACGAATGAGAAGACACAAAATACTTAAGTCAGGCGGACTCGATAATTTCATTATCAAAATGACATCGCACGATTGAAGCATGATAAATCTGCTTTCTGTCTTATTTTAAAAATAAATATGTTAGATAATCAGAAGTAAAATTTTTATGCATTAAATGGCACTAATGCATATCGACCTTAACGTCTGCATAAGCTTTCAGACTCGAACTGTTGCAGATGGTAAAAACAAATCATAATCATCATCACCATCATAATGATTAACAAAATTAAAGATGAGAAATATGAATTAAAATTTTTAGAAAAGTAAACAGATGAAAGATTTATGTAATGTGGGATTAAGAACCGATTTTGCAGTTATTTATTACCATATTCCTACGTCGTTAGGTAAGGGCTAGTTTTGCTTATTTTGACCTGTTTGTGTAATTTGCGTTGGTTGCAAGTGCTGCTTGTAATGTGTTAATTTTTTTTGTTCACTTTACAATATCTTTCTTAAAACTTTCATGAAAATCAGCATGAATCTGGAGGCATCTGCTTTAGATGCATCCTTGTGCTGTTGTAGATGCTTATGCATTAACCTTGTTATGCAACATATACAACAATCATTTTAAACATATATTTTATTCCAAAAAAGGCGCGTAAATTGAGAACTGGAAATGTCTTTAACTGGTGCCATTAACATTAACTTGTAACTGGTAAATACCTTATTTTCACGTGCTGGAAATACAACTTGGATGGATTTTTTGATATAATAAAAATGATATTTAGTTTTACCGAATGATCAATTTCTAACATAATCTGTCTGAGTAGACATGGTCAGTCAATTTGTTTTTGTTCAAAATAATATACAAGTACATCATATAATTTCATTTACAAAATACTTAGAATATACAAACACGGAGAAACAGCATTCTTTATGGGTTTAAAAAAAAATGCAGTCTAATTTGATTTTTCATCAACTAAAATCTTACTCTTTGATTATTTTTTACGTCCCTCTGTCGTAGATTTTTTTAGAAATTAATCAAACATTCAATCCAATCAACAGAATCATGAAAACTTAATCAACTTATCCCTGATTTGCTGAAGTGATTAAGTTTAAATGCTGCCTTAGTCTAAATTGTTGGAATAATATTAGTTTAAGGAAGACTTGTATCAACAGAATAATATGTTCACTTTAGGTTCAAAAGAATGGCATTTGCCAAACGATATGTCTTGACACATTTCTAACTTTAATGTTTAAGGATTTGAGTTTAATTTGCATAGTTTGATTGTATTAGTTTCAAATTGAACGCTGTGCATAAAAATAATTTATTGTTATTAAGTTAAGTCAGCAGCTAGAAGACAAAATTATATAAATATAGATTTACGGATGTTTATGGCTGAACTGATTTGATTTGCTACCAATTGGTTATGTAGATTTGTGAAATTAAATTAATATTGATGATATCATAGCGAGAAATCTGCTGACGATTTTTATATATCATTGACTACATCCTGTCGTGCACATTTGAGCTGCGTCATGACAAAACCAACATAATGGGTTTGCGACCAGCATGGATCCAGACTAGCCTGCGCATCCGCGCAGTCTAATCAGGATCCATGCTGTTCGCTTACAAACCCTATAACAAGTAGAGAAACTGATAGCGAACAGCATGGACCCTGATCAGACTGCGCTGATGCGCAGGCTGGTCTGGATCCATGCTGGTCGCAAACGCACTATGTTGGTTTTGTCGTGAAGCGGCTCATTTGATCTTTAAAGTTATCTTGAGTGGTGGGCCTTCTTTGCTGTCACAATTGATCCTATTAAATGTACACCTCATCAATTCAGCTTATTATGATTTAGTTGATAGAATAATGTACTGCTATCATCATATCACATAAATCAATATAACACACATCATATCACATGTTTTTGTGCAGTATTGAATTTTGAATAGTTCTTTTTATCAGAATATGGACGTTACATAATATGTCTGTTATACAACGATCATTCATCATAATTATCTTTTTATCAGACATTACTTGAAATTAGTGATATAATATTCTATAATCCCCTGCCATTCGTTATGTTCAAATTTCGCTTGCGATAAGAAAAGATTTGTTTGTTTATGGAATCGTTTTGTGATTCATGAAATTCGTACGTGTCAGAAATATGTGTTTTTAATGGTGTGTTTTTTTTATAGTATCTTTTGTTTTATTGTTCGCGACAAAAATGATAGATTAACGCAAGGTTAATTTGTGATCCTATTTTTGTTGATTTCCAGCATTGACATATTATAAAGTTAAGCGAATTATTGGTTTGAAGGAAAAAATCACATAATTGTATAAACGTATTGATACGTAATTTGACATTACATTCAGTCAGTTCTAATTTCTCTCTGTTGTCTTACTCCTAAACCAGTATGTAGGATTCAATGAGATGAATTTTCTTGTATATCATTGTATATAGGACGCTAGCCTCGTTACAAATCAATGGGTGTTAATCTGTAAAATATTATCTCCAACTTAAAATTGAAATATTGTCTATCCAGATAATTATCAAATAGATGTAAAACTGTAAGCATATGCATTTTAAAATCAAATCAATAAAAAGGGGCAAATCGTTAATATAGTGGGACGAGTCGATATTGGGTGAATGCCAGTGGACCAAGCCTTAACATATTCTTGGTTTTTCGTTGACTGTGTAAAAAGGGAAAAATAAAGAACAAAATTATACTTGTTAGATTGTACATAGCAGAAATATATCTGTGTGATTGCTGTTAACAGTCAGTCAGGACAATATTCACGAAA